AGCGATGGTTCAGGTGCAAACCGGGGCTGGACAATGCAGTCAATTCGGCCCATTACACTAGTAACAGGATGCCCAGCTAGACCAGTAACAGGCGCAGTCCAGCGAGTGCGTTTTAGACCAAGACGGTCCGCACATGATACCGTAACAGCACTTATTTGTGAAGCACAATCAACTAGTGCACGCATTGTCTGCCACGTGCCCGAACGGTCACGCACGTGGACAAGCGCTGTCCCCAGCATCACTGAACATGATGTAGAAGCGGTGGGCATCGGTTGAGATGCACACAAGGATGATTTAGCTTTGGGTTCAGGAACCTTTTCCTTGGTGTTGCGTCCACCCATGTGTAACAAAGTGTGATGATTCCGAGAGCACTGCTTGCAACTTGGTTTTGACCGACACTTGTTAGACCAATGAGAATCACTGAAGCAGTTGAAACACAAACTGTGATCACGCATCCAAGTACTGCGTTCATCGATTGCCCACGACAAAAATTGGCTGCAGGTGTCCAAACTATGACTTGCCTTGCAGCATGGGCAAGATCTTTCGGGCTTCGTTGTGAGCAACGACGCAGCATGTTGATAACCAGAATGACTGGGACGATCTCCCTTCCGGTTCGACGGACGAGACGACTTCGACTGTGAACTAGCGGTTCCTGGTTTCAAATCACCAATTATTTCCAACGTTGACACTCGAGACTGAACGCACGCCAGTAGTGCATCAATAGTCGGATAGTCACCCTGACTCGTGACGGTGGTTTCGAACAGTTCCCTAGTCGCGACTGGTAAACATCGAAACGCCATTGAAAACAATACGAAAGATCCCAAATCTGGAATGTTTAATGATTTTAATAGGGAGAGACCTTCGCTGAATTTGCTGACAAATGTATTCAGGTCTGACAATGACTCTTGAGTGGACACGGGTAATTGAAACAGTTTGTCAATTAATGACATGGCGACTAATCGCGGCCTATTAAACCGGTGTTCAACTGTTGACCAAGCCAGGTCATAATGGTCCTCGGACATGGGTATGCCGCGTATGGCATCAGAAGCCACCCCGCGCAAGCAACCAACTAAATAATACATTTTGTCCGCCTTAGGTATGGACCTTGAATCAACATTCGCGCGGAATTGATCGCGAAATGTAGGCCACTGGTGAAAATCACCATCATATATAGGCAATGGTATTTCGGGTAAACGAGATGACGGAATGGAGGTGGACGAAGCTGATGAACCGACCTTATGACCAACGTTTGTACCCTTATCAACTTGGTTATTGATATAAGACAGGTCAATAACCTCAGCGCCAGTAGGTGTGAGTTGACTGATAATGGATTTTGACGTAGTTATGAGATTACGCACTTCACCTGGCAAATCCGGAGAATAGCCTTCAAGTTCGCCTAACTCCATAAGATGATTCAACACAGACTCGTCTTCTGTCCTGAACTGGATCCACAACGCATCGAGATCAACTGCCGCATGCTTGAAATCAGAAACCAATGTCGAATCCAACAATGCACGTGAACCATGGGCATGGATACCTCGAATTTGTGACACGACTGTGGTTCGTTTGGTAATAGCACGATCTCGCAGCCGCTGCGCACGTTCTTTTTCGTCTACCATTTTGACTAAATAAAATTACAACCAACTTACCCAAAACGATAAAATACCCGCCTGAAAATTACAGTTACCAACAATACCTAGAACGCATAGGACTATAGGAGCAATAAACAATAAATATGTACCTACGTAAACAATCGTAGTCCTACTGTAACATTCACAATTCAATATTAATCTATGTAATATAAATATAATATATAATATAATACTATCACACAACAACAGACCCATAAACAACGCTAACTGGACCCTAACCCAGGTCCGTCAACCACGCTCTGCTACCAAAATGTTGGCGCCGACGTAACTCCTACGATATATGGCGGTTAGCCACGACGACTCGCGTCGGGATGGGAGTGAGGTGACAATGGTTTTTTTGAATTAAATGTGAACACAAAGTTGGATTGTTAAATGATAATATATAATATGGAATTAATAATAATTCGTAGGTATCAGTAAATATTGTACAGGCTCGTGACCGTGAAGACGTCTCTTTGACGGTCAGCGAATAATAATTACGATGATAGAAAAATAATGATAATATGTCCTTTTGACAATTGTAAAATATAACAACAATAATAATAACAACGATACCACGGCGGCGATGGCAGTGATAGTCGGTGATATGTTACGACGATGATAACGTCGACGATGATAACGTCGGCGGCGGCGGCAGGTGACAGTACGATGACCCCAGCTGTTGACGGCGGCGGCACAATGACGTTACGGCGGCGGCGGCGGCGGCGATACTTAATACTTATTTAAACTGTAACGGATAACGTAAAATGGTATTCTCAAACCGACACGGTACGCACTCGACGATTGTATGGCATAAGCCGATTCCGAACAGATGACGGGGGGTTCCGTGAGCCGTGATGTTGTGGCGTCGCACACGCGGTTTTCGGATTGAGACACAAAACTAATATGCAGTATGCACCAAAGTAAAGCCGAATGAAGTGGTCCGAACGGCGACCGGAACACCACGACAACAACACCGCACAATATTATTGACGCACGTGCAGACGCAACACGTGAAATCACCACAATAAGAGATGCCACGGCAACCAAAAATGTCACGCAAAACGCACGGGCCGTTGTACATCGGCACCGTGGAACGTAGACTTCGCAGACTGAATAGAAACAGGCGGCACGGAGACGACGTCCGAGCCGTCCAGATTGTGGGCACGGGGGGAGAAGTCTAAAGTTCGGGACTGCGAGTGTTATCGTGCAATACTACACGCACCGGTGGTGACATCCAAAGAGGTAAAAGGCGGCAGTTTGAACATATATAATATGTCTTATACCTGGACTGTCATATCTTCTCCGCTCAGAATCGTTTTTCTTATACAATGATATTATATCTTTGAATTCAAATTTAATATCATCCATTATACAGTGACCCACTTGTAACTTACTGTACAGTAGAGCGATACCCACTTGCCCACCTTTTTTTTCTATAAATATCAATTAAGTTTTATCTGTTGGGCCAAAAAGTGTAAAAATTTAATGCAAGACACCTGATATATTGTTACAATATTAGTTGAAAAACAATGACAGAGCCCTGTTACCCTTCACGTCGACTTTGCCACATGTTCTGCCACTCGATTTCGACGCCCAGCATTTGAGTTCGATACCGAACACTTCAGAAACACAATTAATCGGTGATGCCGAGTCGACAAAACTGCTGGAGCACGAGACGACCGGTGCAGGTTTACAGGACATCATGGTTACCAAAGGTGGATGTGGAGATACTGCAGCAACGGACATGATACTAAGCGCTGTCCGGCCTAGTCGTCGCACACTATGGAGTCGGGCGAAGACCTTTGCACTGCGAATGTTTTGTTGCGGTGTTCCCGACATAGACCGAACATAGATTATGTTCAGTTTTGTTGAGATGTTTGAGGCAGTGGCTTTTAAACGTCGCTGCACTCTTGACTCTTGGCTCCCTCCCCTCTCGCCTTTATTACACAGGCGTAATAAAGGCGAAAGGGGAGGGAGCCAAGACTGCAGCGACGTTAAAAAGCCACTGTGGAATTAATAGCCAATGATCTGCAGTAGCTGACAGAGGTAACTTCTGCCCTGCGGTCAGAATTCTAGCCCTGGATCAAAAGAAGTGTTTATGTAAAAAAATGATACCTACCTATAAATTATAAAATATATGGCTATATTTCCGTAATATTGTGTACCTACATTTAGTATTTATACTAATAAACGTTATTATTGTTATGTAATTTATTTGGTTTTATTTGATATTATTGAATTTTTAAGCTTTTGATCAATGACCAAAAAAATGTAACAACAAGTTACATCGAAAAAATCAATTATTTTATTGAAATAAATCTACAATCTATACATTAATTTTTTGTACAATAAGTAGGTTTGGTAAGTGAATAATAAAAGGTTAACATGAATCATGCGGTTAGTTAGGATACCCAGTGGTAATACCCTATAATATTATACCTAACAGGTATAATAATCGTATAATATGGTGGACGGAATGGCCGAGCGGTCTATTTTTTTTATATTTACTTATAACTTATATAAAAAAAAACTTTTTAAAATAAGTTTGTGTTTAATTAGGTTTTTTCCTTAGTTAAATTGTTCTATTCGTTGAACTCAACAATTATAATTGAATTGATTTCAATATGATATAAATGTGTTTCATAAAGTACCTCAATTGTATAATATAAAATAATACACACAGTGGTGCTCACGGGGTAGTCATGGTAGGCACTTGACTACTCTGCGAACTTTCCCCCCTCAATATTCATTATTATTATCATAATAATTGATAGTCAATCATATTTTTTTACTATCGTAAATGTAGTTAAACGAGGTTACTCCATCCAAATTAATGTAATAACTTAGATGTGAATATGAATATATATACGTAGATATATGAGTAAAATATTTTGATGGTTTACTATTTCCTGATTTTTGGAATACGTAATGTCGGTAATTATTTATATAAATTAAATATACATTTAAAATGACAATTTACTGTAGTTGTCGTGTTCTTTATCGATTAATAACAGCGTTTAATATTCTGATTGGCAAATGGCAATCGTTAATTATCTATTGGGAATTTCCCGAACGTTTAAGCACACGCAATAAGAAGCCATAATATTATTGTTGTTATTATTATTAATAAAAAAAAAAAATTATCGTTTAAAAACTGTAGTGGGAATATACTACCTAGTACCTATAGAACCTACTACAGTACCACCAAGGCACCTAGTGGCTTGTATGAATCATCCGATCATCGATATTTATCCTATAAGAGAGCAAGTCCAACACTCCGTAAAACATAATCTACCATACAATTGTCGAAAGAACTCTATCAGCTCACAATTCAAGAGTCAACGTTCAAACAACTCCAACATCAACATGAATCGTAACTTGTCTTTGTTTCTTTTGGTCGTCGCAGTGGGTAAGTACAAACAACAACATACAAAATATTATGTTAGTAAATTTATTTAGCCCAATAATAGTACTAATTATGCATCCACTTCAACGCACAGGTGAAATTTGTATCGTGTTAGCATACTATTATAAATTTCAACTGTTAACTTTTACTTAGTGTTTAAGAATTTTCATAATTGCAATTTTAACTGACATATAATAATCAAGTTTTAAAAATAATGCTGTAGGTACTTTAGAATGAAGGAGAAAATTCACTTGATTTTAAAAATAAAATTTAGTTATGACACTAGAATTACTAGATAGGTACCCAATCAAATTTTTTTTTAACTAGTCTTAAATTATTTACTCTGCAAAATGTTTAAATTTATAATTACAAATAAAAGTATAAAATATATAATTTAAAAAATTTCAACACTTGAGATTAAATAACATCAATTGGGGCTTTAGAAATTATTTATGGCAGTTTATAGTTTGAAGAGTAATTTATTATTTGATGCTGTATAATACCTTCTATTTTTTTATTATTTTAGTGGAAAACATTATATTTAAATGTATAAAAATTTGCTGTATCCACATAAACTGAATATATTTTCTCCATTAAATATACTTTAAATTTTGAGAAATCTGTCCAACCTAAACTAAGTCGAAGTCGAGACCAGAATTTAAAAATAAAACTAACCAAAAATATAGTAAAATATTACCACTGGGAGCTAAGGAATTGCTTTTTTCACGTAAAGGTAATAAGGTATATTTTAATGAATAAAATGTCCATTTAATTCACATAGTCACAATATGGTTATTAACAACTATAGAAATACTTTACACTTAATAGATTGTATAATCAAAAATTAAAAATAAAACATTTCATATAACGGCATCGCATCAGCCTAAACCCTTTGTTTTATTTATTTCAAATTTGTTTTCAATAAAATCAAACTTTGGTCATAACTATTTACTATAGTAACTAGTTAGGTACAGTGTACAGGGGTTAGGGGTCCCAGAAACCCAAAATTCAAAATAATCCGTGGAATAAAAGCGTACCCCACTCGTCATTAAACAATAAAACTATAAAATAAGTATAATGTATATTATTTTATAACTGCAATATAGCCTCTTTAGATTCATTTTATAAATTTTTAAGTAGTTTTAACTTCAAAAGAAATATTAAATTTGATAAATTATGTCAAAATTTGAACTTTAAATGCTTGTAAAAAAAAAATTGTGCCTATGTAATTTAATTATTTTTTAACTACGTTTTTTAACGCAACAAATAAAATGTTATTGATATTTATATAAAAAAAAACTAAAAAATTGAAATTTTAAATTACCCGTGAACAGCTCAAAACGAGTCAAATTATTTTCAAAGTTTTATGGTGTATAGAAAATGAAAGTATAAAAATTCAGTGAAAAATACCAACTCTTCCTTAATTTTTATTTGTTTTTCTTGGCGTATTTGAAAACTCCTGGGAATTTTAAGACACAGACACAAAAAATAAAAATAAAACACACAGGCTATTGTAAAATCAATACATTCATCGCTCCGCTCAGAATCTAAAATGATTGTCTCTTTGTTTGTACGATACCAATGTTGGTACATGCTGGTAGATACCATTTTAATTATTTTTTTCCATTTTTAGTTTTGCTGGTGGCAGCCACAACGATCGATGCAGAGTGTCGCTGGCTCGACTGCCATGCACATTCGGCCGGAGACTGGTGCAACATTCTTGGACCCGGCTGGAAGGTGAAGAATTGGAGACGGTGTAACGGTTTGCTGGGAAAATCTGAACACTGCTGCAAATAATGCAATTGATGCAGTTATTAACTGTTAATTTTTTTATTTTTAAACACATAACTCTGTAACTTAAAGCTCACGACTTGTTGTAAGACGCATTTACTTACCTACTTACATTATTGTTAATCGTATTAACAATTATTGAATTATTATAATTATGAGCCGCGGAAAAATTTTGTTTTTTTTTTTATTACGGTTGAAAAATAAAAAAACATAGTACTGCACATTATGTTTTTGTATTCAACAAATTTAATATATTTTTTATTGTATTCATATACAATAAATCTCTCCTCGTAGTTTCCAACTCAAATTCATATAACATATAAGTGCATGGATGTTTCAAGCTGTGAAGCTCTAAACAAAAGCTTTATAAAGAGTGTAACTGTGTAACATTTTAAACTCTTTACAGAAGATATATTATACAACAGCACAGTACTATTATACCAACTGGAAAAATAAAAATAATTAGTGTAAAAGATCGTGTACACGATTAATAGTCGAAATAATACTTAGATTTTCAACTTCAGTAGCTTTTCTGCTTATTTCCAATATTAAGACTTTTTTTGAACTATTCATAAACATTTTCAATTTTTAAATGTTTTTTTTCTTTAAATTTCGATAAAAAAATGTTCGCTAGGTCAAAATACTTGAAAATATATTACACATTTAATCTTATGTTTTTATGATATTAGTTCAAAAATATTTATGATTCATATAAAAGATTATTTCTTATAATTACTTCAAGTTTAAATTTTTATAAAATTCATAATAATCACAACAATTTGCAAATTATTTTGAGGTAAAAATGAATAAAATGTTTAATTTGTATATAGCTAAAGATTGAAAATTTAAAACAAAGTTCCTCATAACGCATAGGTAAATACTACTTATACTACAATAGTATATTCATGTCTACGGTAACTGAAAAATCTATTAAATATTTAAACATTGTTTTTTTTATAGATATTTTAAGTTAAAATTTGGACGAAATTATATGTTTAAACGAAGAATAAAAATGTTAGCCACTTTGTTGTTATTTAAAAATACTGTTCGTGGGTGCATGAAAGTTCAACCTACTTTATTATAATAATTATTCATGGTAAAATTAATTACTTTAAAAGCAATAATAATATCATAACATGTATACTTATAAGTTATAATACTAATATAGACTGACAGACCGTCTTCGCTCAGTATCGTTTCTCGTATACAATGATTTTATATCATTGAATTTAAATATAATACATAATGTCACATAGATTACAGTGACCCACCCGAAACTTAATGTACAGCAGAGTGGTATATACCCACTTGCTCATCTTTTTATATTATGTATTGTATGCACTTTAATTACCAAACTACATACTTAATATCTACCAAAACCAATTTGGACAATCGTCATGAGAGGACGGAGGTGCAACTATTGAAAACAATACATTTATCCAAGTACCTAGGCTAACCGAACATACCTATAAAACTCATAGTACCTACGCATCGTCCATCGTTTATCTACGAAATGACGAATGAAAATTATAATGTTATTCGTGAAAATAATATTAGGTAGGTACTTTACGCTTTTCAATTCTAGCCACAAAGCGGGCATCACGTAGCAACGCAACGATAAACACTTCGAACAATAATAATAATTATAAACAGTTTACATTTGGAATAAAATTTTGTTCAGTACTTCACACTTCACAGACGGTCAAATGGACTTTTCAAAATTGATTGCAAGCCGGCGAGACTCAATACCAACATATAAAGTCATAAAGACGAACCGGGATCGAAGTTGGCCGGGACTCCCTCTATTTTACATAACTATATTATATATGTACAGGACACCCAATAAAGAGATGATCAAACTTCAAACAAATATATACATAACTATCGTTTAACGAAAAGTTTACAAATATTTGGTTATTGTTTGCTTTTTATTGGATGCCCTGTACATATTTTCTGCAGGTTCATCATTCAACTACCCATGTGCACAGTTCTTCAAGTCAACGGACTATGCAATATTGCTCAAGTCGTATAGATTATTTCAGTACCTACCTGGTCCTTAACGCAGTTTTGCTAGGAGTTTATGACTCCCTCTATTTTGCATAACTATGTATATGTACAGGACACCCAATAAAGAGATGATCAAACTTCAAACAAATATATACATAACTATCGTTAAACGAAAAGTTTACAAATATTTGGTTATTGTTTGCTTTTTATTGGATGCCCTGTACATATTTTCTGCAGGTTCATCATTCTACTACCTATGTGCACAGTTCTTCAAGTCAACGGACTTATGCACTATTGCTCAGGTCGTATAGATTATTCAGTACCTACCTGGTCCTTAACGCAGTTTTGCTAGGAGTTTATGACTCCCTCTATTTTGCATAACTATGTATATGTACAGGACACCCAATAAAGAGATGATCAAACTTCAAACAAATATATACATAACTATCGTTTAACGAAAAGTTTACAAATATTTGGTTATTGTTTGCTTTTTATTGGATGCCCTGTACATATTTTCTGCAGGTTCATCATTCTACTACCTATGTGCACAGTTCTTCAAGTCAACGGACTTATGCACTATTGCTCAGGTCGTATAGATTATTCAGTACCTACCTGGTCCTTAACGCAGTTTTGCTAGGAGTTTATGACTCCCTCTATTTTGCATAACTACCATGTATATGTACAGGACACCCAATAAAGAGATGATCAAACTTCAAACAAATATATACATAACTATCGTTTAACGAAAAGTTTACAAATATTTGGTTATTGTTTGCTTTTTATTGGATGCCCTGCACATATTATCTTTTGTAGGTTAAACTGTGTACGTGGTTCTTCAAGTCAACGCACCACAATTTGTCAGGTCGTATTTTGTAGTATCCTGCACTTGGTACCTATGTGGTCCAGAGCACAATTTAGCTAAGGCTTGCATTTTAAGTGTATATAATAATAGATAATTGTACAGGACGCTCGATAAAGAGATGGCCAAACTTTAAACAAATATATAACTTAAATTTCAATTTTTCTTTCAAATTGTTAATTTTCAAATATTTGGTTAGTGTTTGCTCTTTACTGGACGCCCTGTACAAATGTTTAGTAGGTCTCGCCCGAACGTGGTTCTACATATAATAACCACACTACCACAATATATTATGCACTTGGTAAAGTCGCAAGCGGAGTATAATATGTACCTATACATTGATGAGTGGTAAATGGAAGCCCGAATTACTTCCGGTACAACATTTGTGAATGAAATTTATGCTTAAATTTTGTAATTTTTTTTTTAAAATTTTATTTCAATAAATTTCAGTGAAGCGTCGGCCCGTCCAGCAGATCCAGTCACCGGACGCGCAGAGTGATTGGAAGTCCTTCGGGCTTCCGGTAAATGATTTAATCACACTGATGTTTCAATTTACATACGAGTAAATCTTTGTTTTGTTTATTTTTTTGTTTTTTGGTACGCTACGTATACGGCTGTTGTCAATCATTGTCATTATCGGACTTGGTGAATATGGGCGGCCTACGGATTTGACGGACGTCTGAAGCAAAGCAAATTGTATAAATTAATCATTATAGTTTCGAGTACCTACTTACTCGATTATCAAATACTCACATAACAATTAAGTTGATGGAAATAAACAAAATATTATTACCAAATAAATGCCTGTTCAATCCTTTCATACCTACCCATGTAAAGGGAGAATGCCGAATGGTAATTATGTTATAAGTAAATACTAGTGAAGTCAGCGACCGGCGTCTCAAAGTCTCAATATAGTCAGCTAGTGTAGGTACCTATCTCAAAAAGTAGTAAAGTAAGTTGAATTAATTTTTGCCGAAAACATTGCATTTGAAAACGTTACCGTGTGTATAAAATTTAATAAAATACGTTAAAAGTTAAAAGTACCCACGAATAATATTTTTCAATTATAAAATTGTTTACAATACTTATTTTCATAACTCACATAAGTAATAACTAATATGTATGTGTGTGTAATCTAATATCTTAGACAGCAATAAATAATTTTATGATTTTACAAAATTTCAATGCAACGTACAATGACGTATAATCTTAATGTGTGTATTTATTTTTAAGGAGCAAAAGTTAGCTAATAGTTGCATAATTTCAAACTTATTGTAGGTAATATATAGATTTTATATTAATATTGGATATAATATATACTATATAGATACAATTTAAATTTAAATTCCATAGAACCTAAAATTAAAAATTAAAATTAAATTAAACCTAATAGTAAAATTGTAGATTTTTATATTCATCTATTTGTTCAAATCTATCAAACTAATTTTTATTGATGCAAAAACTATGACGTACCAAATAGTTTTTAAAAAAGCATTTAGTTAAAAGGTATCTGGGGTATGTAAAAAATCGTTCGTGGTCCATTGGCACTTGTAAATTAATTATTTTTTATTATTTTTTATTATTTTTAATTATTAATAATTGTTTCAAAAAAATGTACAAAAAAAATGCCAACGGCACGTAGTGTTCCCAAGCGGTCACCCATCCAAGTACTAACTACGCCCGACGTTGCTTAACTTCAGTGATCGGACGAGAACTGGTGTATTCAACGTGGTATGGTCGTTGGCGATTAATTTTGAGTATTTTATATTATTTAGGTATAAATTAGGGTGAAGACTATCAGTTATTATAATATGCATTATGCATGCACATCGACATTATTGTTGCGATCACGATTAAAGATATTACTATCTTAAATCGTGGTTGGGATCAATTATTGAATAGGGTAAACAGTAAATACTCCATAATACAGGGGTCCGGCAAAAAAACCTCCCGTATTTTTAGACGTTTATATTTAAAGCTATTTATTGATAAAATGGCATTCCGGGTATAGATAGATAGAGGTCTACGTGCCGTTTTTAGTAATCATAATGGCGTGGCACGGTGAGCATCGCGCATTTGTCGTAGAGGAATATATCCGTAATGGTGGTTCTGTGATTACTACTCAGCGAGCATTTCGCATTCGATTTCAACTTGGCCGACATGATCCTGTTCCGGATAGAAAAACAATTCAAGTTTGGTTATCAAACTTTAGAGCAACGGGTTCTGCGCTAAAGAGAAAATCGTCTGGCCGACCTTTAACCGCAACAACGCCGGATAATGTGGCACGTGTAAGTGCGTCTATCCAGCAATCTCCGAGGCGTTCAGCACTTAAACATGCAGCTGCCTTTACTAGGAACCACAAAGAAGTCTGGTTCCAACAAGATGGAGCCACAGCACACACTTCACGGCGTTCACTAACCATTTTGAGAGAGATGTTTCCAGGGCATCTTCTTTCTTTACGAGGAGACATTACCTGGCCACCAAGGTCCCCCGATTTATCACCTTGTGATTTTTTTCTTTGGGGACATTTAAATGCCCAAGTCTACACTCATCGCCCAACATCTTTGGAAGCACTTAAGGAGGCAATCACTCAGGAAGTGGCAGCCATTACACCACAAATGACTCGACGAGCAATGGAAAACTTCCGGGAAAGGCTTCGTAAATGTATTAATAATAGAGGACAATATTTAACGGATATAATGTTTAAAACTAAGTAATTATTTTATTTTATGTAAAATGGCATAGTATTTAATTTAAAAAATTCAATAAAATTTTTCTGTTAAATTGTTTATTTATTTGTCATTGCCTTTTAAAATATGGGAGATCTTTTTGCCGGACCCTGTATTATGCATTATCTATCGTAATGAATATGCTTTTAGTATTTTATTTAAATGTACACTTTAAATGAGTAGGTATACCTACCAATTTAATAGACACTAAATTATTTTTTAAGTAGTTCCATGCAAAATTTCTTGTTTTTTATTTTAATTTTTTTTTTGTGTTTTGCACGACGTGTTTGAAAACTACCGGAAATTTTCCGTTTTAACCTTTCAAATTTACAACTAGTATTTCAGTTAACCTTAACCGTCAGAAAATACTACCAAAGCTTAAAATCAAAGCATTTCTATGACTTATTTTCGTGAACCAAAATGAAAATGTAACATACCTATTAGAATAGAAAACAGAAGTTTAATATTTCCGGTAATACCTATAAACACATAATGAAAATTAATGTATCTACGTTTATTTAATTTTGTCAAAATATATATATATGTATATTATTCATATTAAATATACATTAAAAATTACACTTTTCTGTAGATGTCGTATTCTTTATCGATTAATATTCTGATATTATAATATTAAATACATAAGCACAACTAGGGGGGGGGCTAAGCAAATACAAATTATTTTGCATTTGGTAAGATTATTACACATAATTTTACAGTATACCTATGCGCTGAACTAAAACATAAATAGGTAATAGCGGAATAAAAATCCAAAGAAAAAACCCCCGACCCTAGGAAAAAAACCCCCAGACTACAATATTACTGACAACTACATGGAATTTTGAACACGTAATTAATGTAATTATTACATTATTAATACTTAATTACAAATATATTATTCTACATTTAAACTTATATAATATAGGTATACTTTTCATTAAAAACCCTAATATTTAATAAATAATAGTCAAAAATTAACAATAATATTGTTTTGTATAAAGATTTCAAACAATATGTGTTAATAGTTCTTTTAAAAGATTACTGATTAGGTACCTACATTGATTAACTCTTTGTTTAATAATTATTATTTTATTTGATGTATTGATCATTGGAAATATTTTTATTTTATAATCTTTTAAATATTGTATCCACCTATATTAAGTACAACTTGTAAAATCTAATAATAATAATTATTTACATATCGTAAAAAAATTATTATTAAGAGTTTAATGTTAAATGTAATAATAATAGAAGTTATGAATTTATGGATTAAAAGAAGGGCTGGCGTTATTTTTGATATACTGGTGTCTGGTATCACCGGATCTTAAAAAATACCGATATCAGGTATTTTAGAATACCCGTATACCGTGAATCAGTAATTACCGTTGTTACCAAAAATAATGTGCCGCGGTAATTACTGAAAAGTGAAAATAATGTATACCTACGCCCTACATTAATTATTATTCATTATTTGTATATAATCGTAATGACATAATATAATTATTAAGGGGCCTGGTCGCGACCTGTTTTTTTGCTCAAAAACATGCCTTACAGGAAAAACTCTCACGCCTTGTAGATTGGTCCGATTTCCGTAATTTTTTTTTTGTTAAATAGAGGAAGACGTATTGCAGGGCGCATTGGACTTGGATTTTCAAAATTATTTTTCGAAATCTTATATTACAAGTTTGAATTTAATCCATTTTTACAACTTTTTAGTTTTTGTATTATTATTTATTTTTAGCAACGTAATCAAAAATCAAAGTCCAATGCGCCCTGTAAAAAATATTTTTCTATCTAACAAAAAAAAAATTACGGAAATCGGACCAATCTACGAGGTGTGAGAGTTTTTCCTGTAAACTGTGTTTTGACCGATATAATACACCCTATCAATCCCCCCTAAATAGGTATTGGGTAGTAGATTAGTGGAAAAGTCTTATAATTGAGGTGGCAACTAAAATATAAAATTTAATTTTCAAATTTTATAGAATTGCGGAAAATTTGAAAAATCGCGACCAGGCCCCTTAAGTCCTATCATAGGTTGGAAACTTATAAACCCTAATACATTTTACGAGGTTATAATATGGTATTTTTGTTAATTATACTGAGGTACGAATCTTACAATATTTTAGGTAATTACCAAGGTACCGTATTTTCGATAATTACCGAAAATTCCGTTCAACCGGGAATACCGTAGATACCAGTATCAAAATTTAAAACACCACCAGCTCTCTAAATAGATGTATAATAATATGTCAACCATTCTTAGCTATGTTCTTTAATTTAAGACATTTTATAGGATTATTAGGCAATGTGGTCTGTTGCTGAATATTGTTAAGGAGCACACAAAACATAAAAAAATTGTTTTCTTTGAATTATTGTGGGGTTTTAGATTAGAAAGGTTTTATTTTAGAACTACTAGTAAAAACTATGGTAGTTCGACCATTACAATATTAAAATTACAAATTATTGTAGTTAGAACTATTAAAACCTATATGGTCAAAATGTAAAAATATTATTTAAGGACATTTTTGGGGATCTAAAATGGCCGAGGGACGTCATTGACCGTGCTGGAAATAACTGCCTATCTTATACATGCAAAAGTTACTTACTTTAAATAAGATTTAGCAATCTAAAAAGTAAAAAACTGTATTATTAATGTTTGGTATAGGTATATTATTATGAATTTTTGTCCTTTTTTTTTTTATAATAATATATTGATTGGTGGGTATAATAAAGCTATTTATATACCATAATACAATTATATTTTTTTTCACAATTTTTTTTGGACCGGGCCGAGCCGGGCTTGAGAATAAAATTGATGGACCGGAATGGACTTTTTAAGAGCTTAGCATTATTTTCGGACCGGGCCAGTGCTTTTTTTTACAATATTTTTTGGACCGGACCGTTACGGCCCTTGCAGGTCTATCGTCTATATCTGCTAGTGTATTTCTATCATAGTGTTACACCATTAAATTTTCCGGGGATAGGATTTAGGAAAAAAGTTATTCCTATTGACCCCTTTCGTTTGTCAATAAAATGTTTATTTACATTTCGTTGCAAATGCAAGGCGAGAAATAAAACAATACAAAAACTAACTATCCAACAGTGAAAACCCAATTAAAATCCAATCAGCGGTTGTGGAGGAGAAAATAAACAAAGTGAAAAGCAAATATAATTTATAAATTAAATTCAACAGGGATTTGAGTTCAATTATTAATTTGTGAAATGTTTTTTTTAAATTTTATTATTTAAATCATTTAATTTTTTCATGCATTTTATTTTATTTTCAAATTGTTGATTATGCCTAATTATTATAATAAATTATGTGATAATAATAACATGATAATTTACAATAAAGCGTGATAAAAAGTCCTTGGTAATATTTTTAGTGTAACTAATAGCAACCCTTTATTGGAGGTATTATAGTATAATACCATTAACTAATAAGATAAAAAGTAGACTAAATGTTTTACAAATATCCTACCACATGTACTTTATTTTGTCTATTATATCATAACAATTCCCAGTGTGTAACTTATACTGAATGTACTTATTCGGTTTGTATCACTGATAAAGTATAATTGTTGGAAACCAACATTTAAATAGATTCTAGACTACAAGGATGAAAATAATATGATTGGTTCTAAATTATAATAGCTTACAAAAATTACTCATAGAGTTAAAAAAAGGACATTTGTTAGACACTTAGACTACAATATATCAGTGAAACACTTGCAGGATCGTTATTCATTATTGGCTCACAACAGTAAATAATAATATACATTAATACATTTCGGTGTATCATATGTCTGTACAGCAGAGCGACATCCACTTACCCACCTTTTTCATATTGTATTTGGATTTTGAGAAATAATATAGGTACCTACCTTCATAATATTGTTAATTATTTTATTAAAATTTAAAAAATATATTTAAATATAATAAAATCAAATTCGTTTTTTATTATAGGTACCACAAATATAAATATTTTTCAAAATCCAGCTTATAATGATTCAAATGAAAAAATACTGTTTTGCATTTTTCCGAAATTTTAAATTTTCAAAATTCAAAATTGTCATCTATGATATATTATATGGCAGTCGTCCGTTTTACTATTACGATTAAAGTTGTGTACTTTGATAATAATAATTTAAATCGGTTCAATTGATTTATATATTTTGTAAACGCGAACGCATTCAAGAATGTATATTATATATATTATGATATTATTTTATGTAATCACGTTATTGATATTTTATAGATAAATGCGTTATTAAAAAAATTAGATAATCGTTAAATACATGTTATAATATTTCTCACGTTCCTTTACTGAACACATAAAATCCCCCGATCAGACACGAATTATTGAACATAAATAAGTGCTTGTTAGCTGTAGACTATAAATTTCCGCGGTACCTTTACACTCTTGTGCAGTAATCGTCTGACCGCCGGAAAGAAAAATTTAACCAGTTTTATATTGTATTGCAGTCGCCAGTCAGTAGAACCAAATAATAAAGAATGTCACTGATTTTCGATCAAAAGTTCAAGCTTGAAAAAAGTGAAAATTTTGACGAATTCTGTAAAGCTCTGGGTGAGTTATTACTCTATAATAATATATACCTACCTACCTACTTTTATTCTATTATGTTAATATTATATAAAATTATTAAACTAAAAGAAAATTAGTAGCTCAATAGACTGACGGCCTATTGAAAATAATTAAATTAATAACACAAAATTACCCATTTCTGATCATTGTAGATTTAAGTAGACATGGTTTGTTTGGTTACCAATTAAATAATATTCTATAATATTTAAAACTTCATACTATTATTGAAACAAAGAATCTGAGTACATATTATACCAATTACCATATTCATATCATAGTGATGGTCTATCACTTCAAATGTATTTAATAAGTAGGTACCTATATTTCAACATTAATTAATTACTGATGCAAATGACATAATTTAATAACTGTAGTAATACGCAGTTCGTAAAAAAAATTGATTGCTATTAGCTTCAAAATACTTTACTCCATAATGGAGTCAAAATTGACTCCTTTTCGTGTCAATAAAATTAAGATTTAAGTTTTGTTGTAGACACAAATTTAGGAATAAACGAATCTGTCCCGAATATACATCAATTATCAATACATCATCATTTTCCTCGTTTTTAGTATTGAATTGATTGTATAATGACGTATTATATGGGTTGTCGTGAATTTTAAATTTTCAAATTGATTTGAATTGTCTTTGTAATTAGTGTAAAATATAATGTTGATTAAAAGATTTTATAAAATTTAAATTCAATTTTTTATTACCAATAGATTTTTTGACTTTTTATTGCTTCAATATAATATTATACTATTAATCTAAATTCTAATCTTAATTGTACTCAAGAATAAATTGGTATACACAATACATTTTGATTTAAGAAATGTAAACACTAAATATAATTTATGACCGCAATATAGCTGTTTAATATTTTTACGTTGATAAATATTTAATTGCCATATTTATTAATAGGTAGGTAACATCAGTATAATAAGAATCTTACCGTTGGCGTATATGTTATCCGATTTAGATATTTAATACAATTTACTATATTAATATTATTAAATTATTAAAAAAATAAACAGGTGGGTACGTTAACATAATAAGTTTAATAACAGAGATATCCGGCATAATTAGACTTGGATCTTTAGTACAATACTACAATATAAATAATATAATATTATTATTTATTACATATTGTTCGGATCAGTACGAAAATTATTGCTATGTAATTGAATGCTTCGACATTACTTGCTTACCGTAATTAACACGAATATGATATTATAGGGTTAAATTACGTTTAAGAATTAAAACGTTTTATGTTCAATTTTCATTTGAATCCTAGTAACTACCTCCTATAGGTTTGTAGGTATTTATTAGCGCTATGTGGCCTGTTGTACTTCTGTACCACACATCGTTCACCGAGATTCTTGCGTATAAATTATAGGTCCCTCGTTGGTAATACAAAAAGTATACTTTAACTATAATTACGTCTATACTCTATACGTATAGGTAATATTTCTATAATATTGTATTATAAATTATAATAAGCGTTTCTTCGACCTTTAGACACGCCGCTCGTCCGCGTCCGTGTCCGTATACTTTCGCACCGGACATCTGCAACAACAACATATTGTTCGAGATAATAAGCGATAATATAATATAGGTAGGTATTAAAATCAATAAACACATTATTATAATTTATAATTATTACCTACTAGGTACCTATATTATACTATATGTGCTACGCGCGTGTTGATCCACATTATGCGGAATGAGGTGATAAATAACGGATATTATACACATTGTAATGTGGGGATTTTAAGTCGAACAAATATTCTATTATTCACACAACAGTTCAACATCATAATTTATACATCATATTATTGTATGTAGGTACCTACCTGCAGTGGCGTGGTGAACATTTATAAACCTTGATGCCCAGCATATATTTCAGTACCTACCCCTTCTTTATCCCCTTAATATAATATATAATACATATAATTATTATGGAACTGTAAATATTTTAATTTTTTGTTGTATGTTATTGGTTACCATAATGTACCCAACCACCCCACCCCAAAAAAAAAAAAATTCACCATGACGCCTAGGCGTCATAAAACCCCATTCACCACGCCACTGCCTACCTGTACTATGCATAATGTACCAACAGTATATTTTTATTTTTTATGCGCCGTGCACGATTATATTTTATGAGGGACGAACTCAAGCCTCAATATTACTATACAACGAATAAACAAATCCATGAGTCGATATATTTTATTTTATCGATGTACAAATGAGGACCTCCGTCCACCATTAACTATTAATTATTCAATACGTTTTGGTATGCATGCCACATTGTCACTATAGGATCAATAATATTCTATCCTAAAAATTAGGTCAGTATTAATGGTAAACTGTTTATTAGTACAACTATCATAATATTATATAACCATATGTACAATTAGGGGGTAGGGGCTTTAAGTTTGTCAACTTTTAAATTACCATAAATAAATGATTCTATTCGAGTGCGTTTTCTGCAGGCGTCATAGAGGTGATGCGCACGTTGGGAAAAGTTATGTCCCCGGTGGTGGAATTGACCAAAAACCAGGACGGTAAATACGTATTGACGTGCAACACGATGATCAGAGATACGTCGATCGAGTTCAACCTTAACGAAGAATTCGTTGAAGAAACATTAGACGCCCATAAAGTGAGGTCGATCATCACACAAGAAGGCAACAAGCTGGTGCACATCCAAAAAGGTTCTAGCAACAGGAAAGAGACAACGATAATCAGAGAATTCGAACCCGATTTACTGACAATGGTAATAATATAGTTATTTTAATGAATCATTTTATAAAATAAACCCCCCTCCCCTCATGAATAATGCCGTATATTTTGCCCGAACATTTTACTCCCTGGAGTAACATATTAAAGCCACAATCCCCCCCTCCCAGGGTCCATAGAGCTATGATTTAATGACAAATATAATATGTATTACTTTATTTTAGGGGTGGATGTCGAGGGCTACTGTTTCTCTTTGATTTACATTTTAGTTACCTACTTAGATATAATATTTTTATAACTTTGTGTCATTAAGTAAATGATTATATAAATTAATAATTAATTAAAATCATCAATTATTGATAAAATTTATATTGAAAAAAACTGTGCTTACATATTTTTTAGAATATTTAGATTCAATAAGAACTCCTGAATATTGAATCACTAATTCTCGTACTCCACAATTACAATTAATATTACATCAATTGCAACAAATCTTATTACTTGCAAATACATTATACATTGTATCAATATTATTATATACATAATACATTACCTATACAATATGATATATATTATTATATACCCATACTAAAAATTATGTGGCAATATGTATTTTTTTAGACATTGACCGCCGATGGAGTCACTTGCACAAGGATTTACAAAGCAGTCAAATAAACACAGCATTACATCATTGAACATATTACTACTGCAACACCGCAGTACCTATCTTTATATAATATTGTATATTTGTAGATTATTCAGATCTTTTTCAACCAATCTGAAATGTGGCTTTCCGTAATATATAAATATAAAATACACAATAATACGTTTACTTTATAATTAAAATTCTAGACTCTATAGTCTACGAGTGAATACGATCGTCGGATCATATATACCTATTTAGTGTTTCAATTTCGTCATAGATATTATTTAATAATATAATATTCATTCCTTTGAAGTTTGAATACGAATACCTCATAATTGCCTATCCTAAGCGCCGTCGAACATCAAAATATTTTTTCATTATCAATAAAAATGTTTACCAAAAACATTATTTTCTCAAATGTGTTTTAAAATAATAAAATGGCAATGGCAATGCCTTTATTGCCTATTAGTATTTATTAATTATTGGACTTCACTAATATCTCAGTTTATTTTTAGGATAGTATTTTTCAAATGAAAAAAAATGATTTTAGTATTTTATAATTTATATAATACATGTAGACATGTCACTCTAGAGTTCTACACAGACATTAACTTTATTACAAACCATAAGACAAGTCATCAAATTGAATAAGAATTCAACACGCTAACACCTCACCAACTTGAACTACAGCTGATGTAAATTAAACATAGGTATTGTGGTTACTACTTACTGGTTAGGTTTAAATATATTGTGCAACATGACAAATTTGTATTCAGCAAAACCAACCTTGTGTTGTTAGCTTTAGTATTACAAGTAAATTATTAATTAACTTTTAGTTTAAAATATGATATATTGCTTTTGTCTTACGATATTTCAATCGTCATGCAAGTTATGAATAATATGTAAAATATTAAAATTTAGGAATTCTCAGAAAAATTAAAATTTCGTAAAAAAAAGCTCAACCTAAAAAAATATGTAGGTACTTACTTAACTTAACTCTAAATTCGATAATAGGTCAATTAACTCTAAACTTTAAGATAACAAATAACAAAACAATTCATACTATTAGTTCAGTAAAATGCCGAAAATTTGCTGTTGTGTAAGGGGCAGATAGAATACAAAATATAGTGGGCTGAAATCCATAATATTATTATCTTAATTCATTAGCGATATTTTAACTTTGATTTTATCTAGTTACTACTATAGTTTATTTCCTTATTATTTCTTATTTGGTATTATAATTTATCTTGTTGTAGTTATAGATGGGTGTGTGCGGTGACAACTGAGAAGCACTATATTACTAAAGTAAAAAAAAAAAAAAACAATAATGATGTAAACAAAGATCTTAAGATCCAGTCAATGGCAATTGTCATCACTATTTCATTGACTATTAGATTACAAAATCTACAAGAGTTACTATTATATTAATAAAATGTAAAGGATTGTATACGTCAATAAAAGGATAAGATGACAAAAAGGTAAAAAGAAAAAAATTGTACCTATTTTATAAATAAAAGAATTGTACAGTATTTTTAATTGGCATTGTACAGTGTTTGACTTGGAAAATAAATAGCAAAGATACCTACTTTGATGGAAAAAAAAATTACATTCCTAGCTAATTAATAAATGTAAAACAGCGGAGCGTTTGCAAGCACAACCCCTATATTGTACCCTCAAACATATTACTACAAAGTACAAACTGACAAACATTTCATAACGTATTATTTATAATATTTATATATTATACTTTATAATTACAGTACTTACTTACTTAAGTTGCAATCTTAAATGTATAGGTATAGATGGTAGACTTTTGTAGTCACTTGTATTATAATATTGGTATTTTTTTTTAATGTATTAATAGGTACTAAAACATAATTTAAAGTGTTTTAATTAATTTAGTTATTGCTTATTTATAATATTATTTTCTTTATTACTACATAATATAATATAGTTTTTTGTCTAAAACGTCCAAAATCAGTCTCAAATTCTAATTATAACAAAAAACATATTATTAATAATATACTCTGTTCAAAATAAGAAACACAGTCAGCCGCAGACAGATAACACCACTAAACCACTTTGTCACCGATCTATATACCTGTCGTGTAGTATTGCCATATCCATGTGCACAAGTTGGATGCCAACTAAGTTTCTTATTTTTAACAGAGTATAAGTAAGGATAAAGCTGATATTGGAGGAGATTCCTAACCTATCATCAGAATTAACATATGGCTAATACATTTAATATTGTGAAAAACTAAGACATTTTTTAATTATTTATCTTCATTTTGATTGCTCCATAAATGAGAATATTTTTTATTTTTAACATTGTGTTCCTGTTTTTAGGACAGATTTATATTTGCCAAAATATTTCATAGAACAACATGAGTATAAACTATCTAACAGCTAGTATTTAATAACAGAAACATATCAATTAGTTGATAAATAAGAGGACGCAACACCCGCATGTGTAATCACCCTCTTACAATTGTACAAAATTGCAAAAACTGTTTTGCGCAGGATAGAACCACTCAGGCAATAGTGATAGTTCAGACTATAAATTGATATTATACAATATAGTCAAAAACATTATACGTGAAATATCATATTTATTTTTTTGATATCACTTATATGAAAAAAGCTTTTTAAACTTTAATAACTTTTTTTCTAGTTCTGAAAAATAAAAACAATATTTCAAAGCCAAAGTTTTCCTTTGTATGTGGTGAAAATGTTGTATCTTAGTATGACCGTAACCTTTTCGGTTAATTCAAGCGCAAAACAGTTATAAGTATGTTTTGAATTTGTAAAACGGAAACAACACAATATGTAGGTGTGGGGTGTAGCGTCCTCTTAAATTAATCAGATTTAGATAGTTTCAAGGAAATTTTCTGGAAGGAAAAAAACATTTAGGGTCCACATGACAGGAAAAGGTTATTTTCCAACGCTTCAACCGGCATCACAAATTAAACTTTCAATATAGGTGTGACCAAAAATTGTTTTGTGCTTAACTGAAATAGATAATGATTAAAGCGTGTATAGGGTTCAGTAATTATAATTTATTTGATAATAAATAGAAAACTTGTAATTATTATTTAACGAGAAATAGCTTCTGGTGGCATGTACCCAGAATTACTGTAACATCTTAAGGATACTCTTCCATTGGGATAAATACAAAGCCACGTAATACTTGCATGATCTAAACTCAAACGTAACCATGCCTCTGGATTCAACTGCAATGCTCTACAACACAATAAGTAATAATACATTAACACAATAATTAACTTAAGTCAAGAGCATACTAAATATATTTTTAAGCAAAATCATAGGTTTTTACTTTTTTTGTTATAGATACCCGTGATTTCCCATTTTTATCATTAACAAAATTAAGGGTTGGATGCTTATATATTATAATTACCTCATAACAAAATATCTTATAACATTTGCATGGCAAACTATTAATTCATAAGAGTCTTCTTTTTGGTCAGGTGGCGCTCTATGAATGAACTTTCGAAAAGCCGCTTCTATACGAGCTCCATCCCTAAAAAACTGCTAAATATCATAATAAAATTATGTAGGTTTATTATATAAGAAGTAAATATTTATTTATTTTCTGTTTACATATAACTCAGGTTTCCAGTGTTTGGTTGGCGGATCTGGTTGTATTGGTGCTCCTTCAGTTAATAAATCAGATGATGTCAGTGGTATATTTGCAGGCAATTGTGTTTGGATTATTGAACAAGTTTCCATTGCTCGAGTCAATGTTGACTGTGTAATTGTTGTCCATGGAAAATCCAATATACTTAACCTCTCGCCAGTGAACAGAGCTTGTTTTCTCCCTGCAAGGAAATTATTATTTATTAATAAAAAAATTAATTTAAAAAAAGTATAATAAATATATTAGTCTATTAAAATATAATAAATAAATAAAATATCAAAAACATAGTTATTTAAATGCTTATAAGTATATTTATATGTGTGTATGTTTTAAGAGTAACATCATACATTTTGCACAATGGTTATTGATTTAAAACTGAATGAAAGGTAGGCGATCATAATATGTTATGTACTTTTATTTGTTAATATTATTTAAAAAATTGAAAATATTATTGACACTTATGGTACCTATTAATTTTATATAAATTGAAGTATCTTTATCAGTGATTTAAAATTTCCCTATTGAATCAAATAATTTTATCAAGTTACTTATTATCAAATTGTGCTTTCAAATGAATGTTCATAGTCCATCGTTCTCTTTGGGAATAAATATTTGTTATTATTCATGGATATTAGATACATACCTAGTTCAGTCAACTTCCTATCTCCATCAGTCTCACCAGATAGATTGTACTGCCCATGTCTAATAAGAAAAATGTGCCTTATTGCACGGGATTTTTGGCTTTCAATTTTCTTATCATACTTATCTTGAGGATCTGATTTATTTGAATCAACTGGTTTTACTAGACTCTTAGATTGTCGCCTGGAAAATGTATATGTTGACAAACACATTCAAACATATTTACAAGTGGTAAAAGAAAAGGTTAAGAATAAATAAACAACAAATAAGAAATAGATAATATGAAATATAATTTATTAGTGTCATTCATTGTGCTGAAAGACTAGACAATATGACTATGTTAGTTTTGATTAGGACTTATTTTGCAAGAAGCAATTAAAAAACAATTGAGACTGTAAAGCAAAATATTAATAATAGAAAATAGGAAACAAAATAAAATAAATTTTTCTTATAAGTGACTAGGAATGTTAAAGAGAACATACAAAAGCATAACATAAATAAATATACCTATAAGTGTTAGGTACTTATTACATAATATCAGTGAGCAGAATATAAATTTAACAATGCAGTCTTATTTGATAGTAGTTGTTAGTATTTAAATATTATAAAATTAACAACATATTTATTTGGTGCACAAATTCGAGCGTCCAGCAAATATTTTTATTTTGGTATCAAGCCTCGTGCTCTTGGGTAGTTTTTATTTGAAGCGGGTTTAATCTTTGGTCCAGCAGCACTTCGTACACTTTTTGGCCGTTCTGCAATCGATGCATCAACCTGCAGATCGTCCTCAACTTTTAATGCTTCATCAAGCATTGATAATAATGAAGGTGAAATTTCTGGTTTCTTATACTCTTCTAATTTATGTTCAAGTGTAAGTAAATTTAATGTTATTAAATTCTCATTCCTTCTCGTATTAATCACACCATTAATGCAGCCACGTGTATGACCTTCTAATTGATTACTAACCATGCGCCATTCATTGGTATCATCATCATAATACAATCTATCCTTGACACTTTGAAGTTCATCTTGAGGTATAAAATTTGACATTATTATATTACCAAGTTTTAATTGACGAGTCATTGCTTCTTGATTAGATTCAATGTCTCTTCGTTGATTTGAATATTCATCCTCTTTAACTTTTAATTCTCCTTTAAGACTTTGATAAAGGAGCATTAATTTGTCAAATTTAGCTTGTTTGGATTCTACTTCTTCTAGCAATGTTGAATAGGTTTCCCTAATTGACTCAGTATAACCAGCAATTTCTTCTAAATTTTTGGCTAGCTCCTGTTCCATTTTTATTTCTTCTTGAATTTCTTTATTACGTTTATCAATTTGACTTTGTTGTTCATACAAATGATCCGTAATAGACTTTCCTCCTCTCAACAAACTGCTTTCCATTGATTGAATTCGAGTAATCAATGAAGCCATAAAGTCCATTTCTTCAGCTACTTTAGCCTTTTCTAATTCTATATCGTACAACATTCTATTTTGATCATCTGTCGATAAATTATCTTTATTTTCCAATATATTGTTACGTTTTTCATTTAAATCTTGTTGTTGTTTTTCTAAAAACTTTGTATGTTCTTGAAGATTTTCCACATCGTAATTTTTTTCTTCGTGTTTTCCTTTTTTAGTAGTAACTTTTTTAGATGATTTTTCATTTAAAATGTTGCGTAGCTTTGATATTTCATCCTGATATTGTCTAATCAAAGCATCCTTTGGATCTTCATTAACACGTGGTGCATTATGAATATTTTTTGCTCTGTTAGCATAGCGTAAAGTTGTGAGTGTTTCATCCCAGTTATAACTGGCTGGACCGATATTAGCAATCATCAATGTTTTTGAATTACCACCCAACGAATCTTGTAATAATCGAGTGAGTTTGGAATCTCTGTACGGTATGTGCGAGGAATTTTCTTCTATAAGTGCATGTATAACATTTCCTAAAGTAGAAAGAGAAAGATTTATTTTCCCAGCTTCTTTGAGCCTTTGACCAGTGGCTCCACTCTTACTCTGTCTTTCACTACCTGCTAAATCAACGAGATTCAATTTCCCAACCCTAATACGTTCAGTAGAACTTTTTATTTCTACAGTAACCGTAAAAATAGCATGACTCCTAGAACTATGTTCATTCATGTCGGTAGCACCAATCGTTCGGTTTTTGTTACCTTCTTGCATGACTTTTAAGATTTCTTGGACGTTTTTGCAAATATATTTGTTTAAATTATTAACATAAACACCAACATCTTTGTCTTCACGAAGGTCACACTTTCCTTTAGATTTTGCTTCTAACAAATCATGAATTTCTTCCTGATATATTTCCAAGTATGAAGAAAACACTAAATATTGTTTATTATTTGATTGTTCAATAGTTTGGAAAATCTGTTCAAAAGTTCTAGGTATTATTCCTCGGTTTTCTTGTTCAGATAAAGGTAGTTTTTCATCTCGGATTCCTTCCATTGTAAATGTTTTACCAGTTCCAGTCTGTCCATAAGCAAAAATAGTAGCGTTAAATCCATTTAAAATAGATTCAATGAGTGGATGGACCATTTTCTTGTACAACTCTTCTTGAGTAGAGTTCCAATCAAAAACAGAATCAAACGTAAACTGTTTATATTCAGAACCATCATTTTTGGGAACCGAAACGGCTACAGAATTATCTTCTTTGGATATTTTCACAACCCCTGTATAGCCATTGGACACTTCTTTGGAACTCATCGGTCTGCATCTCACAATGACTTGGATGTTTTCTTTTTTCGTTTTGGCCGAAGGCTGGCGGCCAGATCGTTTTGTTGATGTTTCCATTGTGCGGCAGTGTAGCGACGGTAGCAGTGAAATATTTTATGTACGAGCAAGACTGACGGACAGGAATAGTAAATATTTTAATGAGGTCGAGTTAACACCTGAAAAAAAACGTTAAAAACACACTCCTGTCACAGTAGAACATTAATATTATATTGGATATTTAGGCAAAGCGACAGATGTTGTTCGCAGTGAACACACGAGAAGACATTAAAATATTATTGTATGAACATTAGACACAAAACCGTCAACGCACTACAACACAAGCAGACCGACACACTTACTTGTCCCAGTTAGAATCCCATTTGGTTTCCTTGTTCTCGAATACCTTGTAGTACCTCTGTTCTATTCCTTTCTGCACCAGGACTTCTGTATCGTTGGATCCAAGGAACGAGTACACTGCGTAACCACTAACGGCACCAACACCAGTGGACAGCGCTAACGTTTTTAGGAAATGCCTGTTGAAGTATTTCGCCATGTGATTTGCAATGATAAATGTATAGTGTATACAAAAATATGTATCACCACAGAGGTATTGTAAACAGGTCGTCCAAATAAGGACCTATTGCACTACGACACAAGCACGGACGATGCCCACTAATTATATATAGCCATAAACATTATAACTAGTTGTAATGGTGTATTATACTGTATAGTGAATAATAATGATTAATGACTAATGACAGACGACACTACGATAGTAAGACACCGAGTGCTGAATACTGAGTAGTGAATGTAGTAAGAATTAATCGCCACAAAATACAGTTGTAATATTATAATGCAATATTGAATATTATTTGGGCATATTACGGCAGTAATGCATTGTCGAAATATTCAATAGGTACCACAGTTAACACACCAAACGTGAACGTCCGAACTACGAGCACTACGGCTATCGGGCTATAGCACAGAACCATATGGGCATATGGCTATAGCATAGAAAAGTATATTATACCTATAAAAGGTATACAAGTATATAATATTATTATGGGCTAAAGATTAGGCGATAACCGAAATGACTCATAAGCAATTATATGTTGGACTGTCCACAATCCATTATCCTATTAACCACAATCAATTCCGAAAACGACTATTTTTACCACGACCACAGTATATTTTAAACTTTGACCAGGGTTCGCGACTTCGTCTTATCTTTCTTCGGCTGTCCGTTATCACCAATCCACCACTTAATCAAGGTTAGGTTTGTTATCCGAATATCCGATAAAAACATGTTTTCAACTTTTGAATTTCGCGTTTGAACTGTTTTAAAACTTTGATTCGGATTCGCCATTCGTGAATCGTGAGTCGTGGATTTGCAACAACAACAATAATCCCATCCACTTTCTACTGTCTAGATATATCACCGATGACCCTACAGTCGTAAGTTATATTCAGCTGAACGATAACTTTTTTGAGATTAATTATCCTGTAGTTTTTATTTATAAATGATAAATGCTGTACACATCAGCTACATTATTGTGTTAAAATCGTCGTGTTTGATTATATTTAAAACACATTTTACGATTTAATTTATAGATGTCTGTAGATTCAGATTCCGACCACAGTTTCGGTGACTGGGTGGAAAGTGGACCAGATAGTGTAAAATGTCTATTCTGTGAACTTTTGTATGATGAAGTAGCAGAAGCAATAGTTCACTGTGCTAAGGACCATAATTTTGATTTACCATTGGCAAAACGTAAGTATACCATGGATTTTTATTCATATATAAAATGCATCAACTACACAAGAACTCAGATACAAGAAGATGAAAATTTTAATCCTAGTACGCTGTTTGAGGATGACACTGAGCCTTGGAATGATGATAAATATTTAACACCAGTTTTAAAAGATGATCCTTGGCTAATGATTGGTAAGATAAATTGCTTTTAATATAAAATTAAATTATTAAATCTATTGATGGATTCATGACAAGACTTATTCATTAGGTACAATTTAGGTTTATCATTATTCAATACTAGTGTTTATAATCAATAATAATATATATTTAACCAGATAACTGAATCTATAACTACAATTTAAATTATTCCAACAAAAAATCCGTCACCAACACAAACAATAAATAATGAAAATTATGAATCAACATCAAAATACACTGAAATTAATGGAATAAACTTCAGAAAAAACATTGTACATATAATAATATATTATTATATAATAAAGAAACAAGTATTAGTAGGAATTGTATTAATATGAGTAATAATTGCACTAATTGAACACTAAATATAAATTGAAAATAAAGTATATAAATATATATAAAAAAAAGTCAAAACTTTAACGTATTTATATGGTTATTGCACCGAGATAAAAATATTTTGACTATGAAAAAGTAAATTTGGGAAATATTGGATCTATTGGTGGGTAAGATAAAGGGAGTCATTTAGCCTTCATTACCGGCAATACTTTAAGAAACAGAGGTGTAACAAAGAATACTATGTGGGCATGAGTGGGATGGCAATTTTATGGTCTTGGGTGAATCACTTGCGGCAAATGATGCACACAACTGAAATAGCTAACTTCCCGTCCTTGCCAGACAATATTCTATTGTGCTTGGAAGGCGATGTTTTAAAACATTCAGAAAAAAATGAGATTTTAAGTCCGTGCTTTACACACAAATAGGTTTTTTTTTTCAAATTTTGCCAAGTGTTTTAAAATATTTATGATTTAATAATGATTCAATAGTAATATAGTATAGTGCTAATAACTAATAACTTATAAGTTATTCTAATAAATATTATTCAAACTTATTTTAAACATATTTATTATCTTTGATATGTTAGGTATATTTCAAAGCTATCTTTTATATTAACTGTTTTGTTTTTATTATTTAGATATTGATGATGTAGCTGAAGATGAAAAAGAATCAGAATCTGGTTATACCGTTAATTTTGAAAATAATCAGTTTACCTTGTCGTCTGAACATTTTAGCCATATACAAAATAAAATTCAAACAGTTACAAAACAGGTAAGGAAAATAACTGCTCTATTTTAAAAAAAAAATGTTTAATGAAATAATATAAAATTTTCAATTTTCAGTTGGAATTAAAAGAGAAAGAACTTGCCGACGCATATAGTCAAATGCTTCAAATGAAAGATACACTAACAAAAGTTTTGTCTGCTCGACCAGAAGAATCCATTAACACAGCATCTACTTTAAATTTAGAAGATGATCATGGCTATTTCGGTTCATATTCATCTGTTGACATCCATTATGAAATGCTCAAAGTAAATAATTAGTTACCTATTTATAGAGCACAACAATAATTAACACATTCAACTCCCATATCAACCCATAGTTGACATGAGTAAATGGGCACCCATCGTCAGTGTCATGTAGTGGACATGCAGTAAATCTATCTTGTATTAAGGCAACTATGACCTATATCCGTACACATATGAAATCTTGTGTCGGTGTTTTAAGTATTTATTACTGTATAGTTACACACAGTCATTTGTGTAGCTAAGTGATAACTGTGGTTGTGTAATAGCCTATTCTACTAATTTTACACACAGCGACTAGTGCCTAAATGTTGAATTGAAGGCTGCATCATCGTGTTAAACTATTCAGAACTAAGAACTTCAATTTGTTCATCAAAATAACTTGAAAACTTGCATATAAGTTAAAAATGTTTTAAGTCTAACAACTTCTCCTGAACAGTTAGTGTATGAATAAATTTGTATCATGATAAAATTTATGTAGAAACTTAATTTTTTTAAATAATAATAATTTTTATTTAACTATTTAAATCTACCAAGATATGGCTATTTAATTTATTAATTAACCATTTTTAGGATAAAGTACGGACAGAAAGTTATTGCTCTGCTATATTACAGAACACACCTTCATTTAACGGTAAAACAGTATTAGATTTAGGCACAGGTAGTGGAATACTATCTATGTTTATGGCCAAAGCACAAGCAGCCAAAGTTTTTGCTGTTGATGAAGCTGATATACTATATAACGCTACAGACAATTTTAGGTATGAATGATTAATATTCTTGTAAAAATAATACTAGATGGACATAGAATATTTCATTCAATTTTCAGAGAAAATGGTTTTGATGATATCATTGTCTCAATCAAAGGAAGAATTGAAGATGTCAGTTTACCTGTAGAAAAAGTTGATGCCATTGTTTCTGAATGGATGGGATATTTTTTGTTATTTGAATCAATGTTAGATAGTTTGATATTTGCCCGTGACAAGTATTTAAATAAAAGTGGAATTATGTTGCCAAATGAATGTAACCTATTCATCTGCGGTGTGAGTGATACAGGTGAGAATAAATTACAACTAGATTTAAGTATTTATCATTGTTTTATATTAATTGATAATGAAAATTGTTCTTTAATTTTGTTATTTTTTCAAACAAATTACAGATAGATATGATGAAATATTGGGATTTTGGTCAGATGTATATGGTTTTCGTATGCCATCTTTAAGAACAGAAACATTAAATAAAGCACAAGTTGAAATTGTACCAGTTGACCGAATTGTTACTGACGAATATAAACTTTGCACATTTAATATGTATACGTGTGATACGAATTCAACTAATTTTAAAGTAGAATTTAAACTTAATGTCACAAAAACATGTTCAATGACTAGTATAGTTGGGTACTTTGATTCGAGATTTGATAATAACAATACTGTGATATTATCAACAGCACCAAACTGTCCACCAACTCATTGGAAACAGACAGTATTTCTTCTACCAGATCCAATTGATGTGAATGAAGGTAATTTTTCAGTTCTTAATTTGAGGTTTGTTCAATATTATAAATGAATGCATTGGTTTGTAGAATAGAGGTTCAATTTGTAGGTGTAATATTTGTTATACAATTGCTTGTAATTGTTTTCTATTAAAAATTTTTTTTTCATTATTTCAATTAGCTGTAATACACAACCTGTATCAGTTGACACAATATTTAAAATTATTTGCAGTACATAAAATAAAAAAATGTGTAACTTAAATCAAACTAAAGTTTAATTTCTGAGTAACTAAAATTAATTTAAATACTCACATTAAATATGTTTATATTGTAAATAAAATATTTTTCTAGTTCTTTCCATCAATAAATTATCATTATTATTAATGTCAAACTGGAATTAATACTAAACTCGTACTAAACCTTCTAAAATAATAATAGCATTCTAATAAGTTAAAAAATATTTATTATCTATAACATACAAATAATAGAATTATAAAATTATTCAATACTAACGCAAATTTTTTCAATAAAAATTAACATTTCTAATTTTGTATAAAAAAATTGTAATTATTTGACTTTCAATGATGGTCATAACTACAATATTTACAATATAATATGGTTGATATTGGTGATTCAAAACAATGAACCAACTAGTAATGCACATTGTAATTTACATTTATAGGTGATTTACTTGTTGGAGAATTCCAGTGTTCCAGAAATATAAAACAAGTAAGATCTTTAATTGTCACAATCAATATAAATAATAAAACCTATACTTATAATGTATCTTAGAGATTTGTAATTTGTTTTATTGACATAACATATTATTTAGCAAAATCTATGGCATATTTTTTGTTAATGCAATAAGTTATTAATCAAATAATATTTTAAAAATATAAACCTTACAATCTAAAACCTATTATTTATTTTTGTTTCCTTGGGATATTCTTATTTATTACATGAAGAACTGATTTTTGCTGTGATGTGTACATGGTTTTTTTGAATTTTCTATGTTCATTCGCAAAAAAACCACTCCTGTTAAGATTTTAAAAACATTGATTAATTTAATAATTTAACTAAATACATGTTTATGCATTTCATTTAAGCTTATGAATTATCATAAAAATAATGCAGTTAATTTTGTATGATAGAAAGTTTAAAAATACTTCAAAAATAATGTTCTATTACCTGAAGGAATAACTCGAACTTTAACTGGAGTTTTTGAATTAAAAATACAAGAGGTTGTACTTTTTTCTTCTCCATAAAGGTTCTAAGAAACATACAGTACAATCATATTATTAAACTGTTTATAGTTAATATAATAAAGTTCTAAATAAGAAATTAATAAAAAAATATTACAACTCACAATAATTGAATAGCCATTAGGGTTTGTTAAACCTAAGTCTTCTAATGTTATATTATACGGATAAGGAGCTCCGTCAACACGGCGGCTTACAAATGCTACTGCATAGGAATGGTATCCATCGTTGAAAGGTTCAACTGGTCTAGTCCAAATATCAATACCCTTGTCCTAATAAAATGTATTTATAAATAGTAATTACCTATTCATTTAACTTGTATACCTATCAACTAGTTTTGACTTATGAAGTATATTGAAAATTTAATTTAAAAAGAAACTTACCCTAAACACTCTAGTGCCTTGAATACCAAGTTTGTCTTGATTGACTTCAATAACTTTTTTGTTTTGTAAAATGTCTTTAAAGTGTGGTTGTACTTCTGTTAATTTGTTTGACATCAGCAATGGAGCAGCCAGTATTGCCCAGATGGCCATTTGTGTTTTACTTTGATCGTATGTTAATCCAAAGTTACCAATCAAAAGCTAAAAATGTAATTGTTTAATTAATATATATTATAATATAAACATTTTTAAACAATTAACTACCATGTCTGGATCATTCCAGTGTCCAGGTCCAGCGTATTTTGCCCAAAATTCTTGTTTTTGTGCAAAATAATCTGCTATTTTGATCATACTTTCCCATGAATCATCAATATCATCGTAGTTACGCCAAAGATTGCAGTGTTTAGCCATTGATGCGTAGTCAATCTTTTGGTGAAATGTATGGTTTTTAATTTATAGACAACAATGTAAAATATGTACACATTAAGATACTTACTAACATTCCCTTTTCTTCTTGATAAGCTGGCCAGCTACAAGAATACACCATTGGTCTTCCAGTGCTATTTAAATGCCTCCCGAATTCAGGATAGCCTAAATGAATAGGTACGTATTTAATTTTAAAACATCTTATATTATTTCAATGCTTCTTCACCTTTGTCCATGTGTCTAACATTTGAATAACATCCATCTAGTTTGACATAGTCAACATCCCATTCTGCAAATGTTTTAGCATCCAGCTCTTCGTGCCCCAAAACTCCAGGATAGCCTGCGCATGTCTTAGTACCCCAGTCTTCATATAATCCAAACTTAAGGCCTTTAGAATGTACCTATTGACAATTGTCGTAGTTATTAAGAGGATGTAAACTCGCTATTTGTTTTGTTTCTGCAGACCCATATAGTGACCACGCCCAACACGCCAAATTTGCTTTCAGAACCAATTTTGTGTTTATTAACTTTAATATATTAAAGTGACCTATTATGAAACTTAAATTTAAAAATATTTTCAATGTTTTATACATTGGTTTTTTTACGATATTTCAATTTGTATGCAAGTTGTGAATTAGGTATGTAAAATTTTACAATTTAAAAATGGTCATATATCGCAGAATAATTAAACTATGGTAAAAAAAAAAAAGCCAGTGTAAAAGCGTCAAAAATGTTCTTACCTTAGGATAATAGGATATGATAGTTAATATAAGTAATTATTAAATTTGAGTGTAGAAGAAATTATTCTTAAGAAAACCTAACAGCTAACATTAATTGCAGCATCTAGTATTATTTGAATGTAGGTAAATTGCCACCCGTCAGTATTTTGGGATAGCGGATGATTGTCAATTGTACGTAGGTATACGCATATATGCGTCTATTCCCACCAATAATACATTATGATTTATGACATTCATAAAATCATATTGGGGCATTATGTTAATCTTTTCTTTTTTTAATACCTACCTGCAGTAAGATCGAGTTGAGGAATCTAGTATTACATTTTCAAGCTTTTGATGTATTTAAATTAAATATTTTATGAATTTTGATATTGGAAACGGATTAAAAGTTAATATATTTATTTTAGATACCATAAACAACTTATTCTGTTTATACAACATTTTTTAAGTCAACATTTGTTTAAAAGTTTGAAATCCTTACTTATTTTTAAAGTCCATTTTTGCATGAAAATTAGTCCTATTAAAATGATATTTTACTGGCTACTATTGGGTGTCAAATGTCCAATTTTGATAGTAGTATTTTACCGAATATCGTATTAGTTATTACTCACATAGTCCGATAACGCTTTAATACCGCTTGGGAACCTTATTTTGTCGGCTTGTAATTTCCCATCGGCCGATCTGTTCTTGGCCAACCAACAGTCGTCAACGATTACGTAATTATAACCCAATTCAGAGTAGCCTTCGCTAACCAATAAATCTGCTGCTTTCATGAACAATTGTTCGCTGAAAAGTATGTATAACAATTTTCAATAAAAAATCACCATTATGAACATATTTTGATCACATACATTGATATATATACAACGTGATTCTTTTATCAAACAACACTTGTCTCATTATTTCAAAAAGTGTAAATTTTTTTGAAAATATTTTTTTACATAGTTTCAAGTCGCTTATAAAACAACGTTTTTATTAAAAAATTATATTTTTAAATATTTTTTATCCTTATAATTTTTTAAGTTTTTTTACTTTTTTGAATAACAACATAGGGTTTTAATTTTATATTCCAAAGCAGAATATTTTTCTTAGTATTTTGATACATGAAAATCGAATTTGGGTTGAGTAGTTTATGAGTTATAAGTATTTAAAGTTTAGACGAGCGGAGTGGAGTGGTTCGGGGTTACCCCGCGAAATGTTTGACCACTTCACCGCTCGTCTAAACTTTAATTACTTATAACTCATAAACTACTAGCCCCAAATTCAATTTTCATGTATCAAAATACTAAGAAAAATATTCTACTTTAGAATATAAAATTAAAACCCTATGTTGTCATTCAAAAAAGTAAAAAACTTAAAAAATTATAAGGATAAAAAATAATTTAAAAAATAATTTTTTTATTAAAACGTTGTTTTGTAAGCAACTTAAAACTATGTAAAAAAATATCTTCAAAAAAATTTACACTTTTTGAAATAATGAGTGTTGTTTGATAAAAGAATCACCCAGTATATATTGAAATTAATATTTTTCGGGGGGGGGGGGGGTCCAAAACATGTATATTGTAATTTTATTGAATTTAGGTTTTGATGATTGGTTAAAAATAAGATATTGAAAAAATTTCGGGAGAGTCCAGACCCACTGGACCCCCCCCCCCTCAGATACGGCCTTGTGTATAGGTACACATATATACAGTGTCTTCACCAATTTAGGGGACACTAAATTTCTCGGCCTGATTATTTTGGAATAAATCGATTTTTTTTTTACAAGCTGATGGGTATATAAATACACATTTATAGATACATTTCAAAATTTTTATCATTTTGGCCTGCTCATGAGCAGTAAAAACTTATTTTTTTTAATATCAACACCTATTTTGAACACCATATTCGTAAATAATAATAAATGATAAATAATACATTAATTGTTTAATTATAAATGATTTTATAACTTTTTTTAAATAATAAAAAAAATGTATTATTTATTAAAATTGGCATGGCTCTTATTCAGTCAATTTTGAATTTAGAACCATAGTTGTGTTAACTTCTCCAGGGGAAATAACGTCAAAAATCTATTTACAGTTGATTCATCAAAATTACTTAAAAAAAAATAGTCCTACACGAATATGGTGCTCAAAAAAGGTGCTATTAAAAAAAATAAGTTTTTACTGCTTGTGAGCAGCCAAAATGATGAAAAATTTGAAATGTATCCATAAATATGTAGTTATATTATGTATACCTACTCACCAGCTTGAAAAAAAATCGGTTTATTCCAAAATAATCCGGCCGAGAAATTCAGTGTTCCCTAAATTGGTGAACACTAGTTTCAACGTAGTTTACTCCCATTCACCACCCCAAATATCCCTTTATCGAATTTGATACTGACTTGACACAATCGTCGGGGTACATTTCGCAATCCGTGATGCACCTGTATCGCTGCCACGCAAGCCATCCCATCGGTGGCGTAAGAGCGAGCCCGTTATCGAGCCCGTCGATCCCTCGTACTACCACAATGATCAAACAGCAAGCCCATCGTACCACTGTGGTGACGATCATCCCGACAGACGCCTTTCCACCTTTATAATATCAACGCTCATAATATAATCCAGCGAAGACGTTTTTTTCTTCTAGATTTTTTTGTTTATAAGAAAAAACTTACCTATATACTCACGTTCCCTGGTTACCGTCGCACGTCGTCGCCAAAAATGTACAGCTGTAGTAAGCGTCCAACTGAATATAATATTACTCGACGTCCGGCTCTTTTTGACGACTCACGACGATTGTGTATTATAGATACTATTATAGTATAATACAATATTGTTGTACAATTATTTACTTCGACGAGTGGTCGGCTCAGACGCACCGTGTTATACTGTTATGTGTACAGTACTCGTTATTATAACACACTAAACGAGTCCCACCGGATTCGACCGGTTTTTTCAACACACTATCGTCTGTGTCACCTACTGACTGGGAGACACTTATTTTAAACATTATATAAAAGTAAAACTCTTACAGCTCGTGCGCGCGCATGCATAACAAATCACTTGTATAAAAATGTTTCGAAATCGACGTACCTATTGAAAATTTAAGCGATGACTACAGAAGATAAAAACATGTTAGAGGCTAGATCCTTATGGCCGTAGTCAGTGTCACAACTAGCTAAGCCCCCATAGCCCTTAAAAAATGTCGCTTGTTGATTTTAAATATAAGCTTCTTATGACTTATCTTATGTTAATAGTTTTTTTTTTTTTTTAAGAGGGCTATACTGCTGTAGCCCCCCAGCATTTTAACCCTAGTTGTGCCATAGACATATTTAAAGATAACCCTTTATTTTTATTATTATTCTACTGACAGCGAAACTCGTAAAACTATAAAAGTAAACGACGACCAGCTGCAGCAGCATTACAAATCTTAACTATATTATACTATTTATATTATTTTTTTGTCGTCATGGGTATTAAAAAAAAAAAAAATACCTTAGTATTTTATAATATATATATATACCGCCCAAGCGATACTTGAATTTTGAGCTATACGACAGTTAACGGTCAAACTAACATTGGCGATAACACCTTGATTGTGACAAACTGACAAATTATCATAAAAGATAAGTTTTTATTTGTACGTCTACCACGCCGCCCTAAAAGATTAGGAATAAAATACTTGTGAAAATATAATAACCCAATGCGGTTTTGTGACTGAGCACTAATTGCAAAATTGAAATATTAATAATACCTATGTGTGGACTGTCCTGCTATTTGTTAAATGGCGAATTGCGAATTATAACCGAAATTATTAAAATTGTTGATCGTCTCAACACTCAGACAGTCGATTGCCATACGCCATTGATTATTGTACAATGCATTGAGATTTTTTTTACCTACTCAGTGATCTCAACTCTTAAATAGTCATTTTTTAGTTGATGATGTACAATACTACAATACATTGTTGTGAACCCCTGTCCGTGTACTATATGCATTATGAGTTGGAGTAATAGTGTAGTATAGTATAATATAAGCATTTTGTTATGTGAACAGGCAGAGTGACACGGTCGCAAGGTCTGGGGAATTCGCTGAGTGGACAGATTCGAGTCCGATCGAGCCCCTATACCGTGTCTCGCTGTCTGTGTAATAAAGTAATGCAGTATTGACAGAGCATTGTGCAAAACCTCTGTTATTTTTTAAATCTAATAGCTATTCTGTTAAACTAAAGTCTTTTAAATTTATTATTTTAATAGTGATAACTCAAAACCACGTATTTATTAATTAACGAACAAACTCGGTTGTGGAGACGTCCGTTACAGCATACTCAATCATAATAGTAACTTTTTTTAACTTAGTCTAAAAAGTCACTTTTATTAGTATAAAATGCAGTTTAGGGTTTTTTCATGCTCAATTTGATGATACTTAAAATTCAGTCAAACTTTCTCTGGAAATTATGGTAAAAAAACATCAAGAGGCTCGATTTTTCCAAAAATCGTGTTGTTAAGTTTAAAATACCAAAAATTGACGTTTTGGAATATTTTTGTTTTGTAAAGGTTGGATTTTTCATGTTTAAAACATTTTGGTGAATTCGAGGATTACCTATCGTACTTACTTTTTATATTGTTAAGTAAATATTTGGATAATGAATTAACACATTGACTTTTTGGACTTTTTTTTGATTAGGTACTTAATAACATAGGTAGGTACATGTTTTTGGGGAAATCATAACTAACTAATCTTTTTTGGTTTGGAAGTAATAGGTTAAAATAATAAGCAATCCAGTTGCGAATCCAGGAATTTTTATGAGAGGGAGCGGACTTATCAGTTACATATTTAAAAAAAAAAAAAACTATAATAACTGCAAAATTATAGTGTTTAAAACAACTATATTTAAAAATTGTGTACCTATTTTATATTTTTATTCATGAATATATTATATAATAATATATAATATGTAATATGAAGTACCTACCTAAAGTATCGAAATATGATTATTATGTAACTCTGTTTAGTACTCTTAAGACTAATTTGTATGCTTATATACCTTATTAATATTCTATTTGATACAACTTAAAACATGTGCAATGTGCATCTATTTGGGTCGGTGTATGATTTTGCACTTGTTGAATTGCTAACACGTGTAATAAATAATAATAATATATGGTTTACCCATAAGCTGCATTGCTGTATACTAGCGACATTCTAAGACGCCTGTGTACGATGAGGAGTGAGGACTGTTATTTATTTTTCTTTATTATCTAATATCTATTGTTATTTATTTTGTAACTTTTATGAATTTAGAACTGTAAAAAAGATGTTCAATTTTATAATACTTATTAGTTATTATTATTACTATATATATAATTTACATTGTAATATGACAGTACTTAGAACTTACTGATAAATGATAAATCGAAATATTTACATTGCAGAGTTATACATAATTAATATTGTTATGTAGGTTTCTATGTATTAACTGTTTTTTTTTTTTACATCTTTTTCAATTATATCTTTTTAGTTTTTACTATAATATATTTCTAGTTACGTTGCTTGTAGAATGTTGAATGACAATTGCTAAGATATTTAAAAAATATATATTCATTTTTTTGTAACGAGATACGAGAAAGTAACATAATTACTTTTCTATTTGAAAAGTAAAGTAATAATTCCATTACAATTTTATTTGAATAACGAATAAACTAATTTATTCACTTTTTTATAGTAATTTACCCAACACTAGTTTTATATAATATGTACTTATAACTATTTCCCTATGTATATAGACGTATAGTTTGTCCATAGGTATAGGTGAATATATTTTGAACTTTTTGTTCATTTACACCGACACGATTTAAACAGCATCATAGAATTACTATCAAACAACCAATTCTTATATTGAATTTAGACAATATTGTGTAAGTGGTCAACCCTTCTATCACACTCACCACTACATAATATTATAATTATTTATGTTTTTATAAGAATATCTCAGGTAGGTTACTACGCGGTTATCAAGCATTAAAAATGTCTATATTTATTCTACTTACGAGTATATTATAATCGTATCGTTTATTCACTGCAATATTAGGTATATCGTATAGGTGGGTACATAAGTACATTAATACATAAAATATAATATATTTATAATTTATAAGTAAACTTATATCATGTTTTTAAGACTGGATTTATGTAAATGTTACGGTTTTGTTGAGTGCGCCGTTATAAATATCATCTTCCTGCAACTTAGTCGCTATAACATCGAATCGCAAGAACACAACACCTGATTTAAATAAATTTATAATAATTATAAATAATAAATACTTAAATAATTATTTTAGACAGGTAACGTATACGGGTTTATGGTTTATTATTTTACCTGACGGAATAACTCGTACACAGACTACAGTCTTTGGCAGGGCGAAATGTTTGGTTACTTTTTCGGTTGGTTTATCAAACAAATTCTGTAACAGTTAAATAATAACATTAGTAAATGAAAACAACGCGTGAATAAGCAATTATATAACTTAGTTATATAGGCCTTTATGGCCTATGGGTATAAGCATAATTTATTGTACTCAATTTCGATCGGTCGTCAACAATGTTGAATAAATACATAAATATATTATAGTATAAGGTGACACTGTGCCAGTCTTAAGAAAAGATATGGTAGGATAAGGAACTTAAATCTCCCCCCTTAATTACTACACTACTTATATTGTAAGTTGTTATTAATTTATTATAGGTATTAGGTACATAAACAAAATATACAGAAGACCCAGCTATACCTACACATAATAATTTAGCCATCTATTTATATACAATATAATATTAATATATAATATATTATAAACTAAATTATTATTTTTAATTATTATTTTCTCAAAGAGTGTTAATAATTTTGAAAATATAATTTAATGTTATTAAAAAACAATATCGCTACTGCAGGGACAGAAATATAGGTACCACTACTTTTCGATTTATATGCGTATTGTAATTTGTAACTCTCAAAAAATATTCCGACTGAAGTTCTGCAGAATATGAAATAAAAATGAAAATTTATGCTGTCATTCAAAATAGTAAGAAACTTAAAAAATTATGTTAAAAAATGTAATTTTTATTGAATAATATTGCTGATATAGTTATTAATGTTTACAGTTTTGAAAAACTACATAGATTTTCACTTTCAATTAAAATGCGTATGAGCGTATGTTAATATGCATTATATTCAATGCCGTAAAAATCATAGGTTAGAGTTCTGGGGCCCGGAGCCGTCGATAAATGTTTTTTTTTTTAATTTTCCCATTCTTTTGATTCATAATAATTTTAATGCGGTCTTGCATTTAATTTCATATAGAAAAAAGAGGGGCCCATACACATTTGTTCGCACCTGGGTCTTTGGATCTATAGTTAAGGCACTGATTATATTATAGTGTATTAGTGTAGTATTATAGTATACACACAACAGTACAACACACTATATAGTATAGGGTGCATAATGCTAATGTAGTAATGTCTAAGTAAAAAACTAACCGTCAATATGATATTAATTAGCAGTAATTACCTTAATTG